CCAAAACTAACTTGTTAGAAAAAGGTATTCAAAACAACATTACTGTTGGAGTTCTTCACTATATATTTTCAAATTTTCCCAATTCAATAGGAGTTATACCAATGCAGACTTCCCCTGAAAATGAGAAGCCTCTTATTTAAACAAACTCACATATTCTACTGCAAGCCTACACAGTAATGCAAACACTGATTATGCACATATAACTGCATGAAGCTACTGACTGCTTTCTTTTTTGCCTTATAAATAAGCTTTTATACTTCTGTTAAACCAGTTCTCACAACATTTTGAAATCCACAATCATTAAGTTGTCACTGACATAGCATTTAGTGGAAGCTAAGCAGAAGCACACAAAAAGAAGTTGAGTGTATCACATTAATTTGCAGTGTCATCCACCCATTCTTCGAGCTGAAGATGACAAGCAATAGAAGATGAAACTCTAAGCCTCCGCAGGTGAAATATTAGAAGTCAGAGTAATCATTCCAAACTGTTACAGAGAATTTATTGAGAAGACAGGGACATGATTTTTTCAGTTGGCTCCCTAATCCTAAATGCAATTCTATGCCAAATTTCGGCAGTTACCATAGCCTCATTGGTTACTGGTTTATGTGGAAGTGCCACAGTTCAGCTTTTGCGAGAATAATAGATTTAGTCACTCTCATGTAATTTCCCCTTCTCCTGCTCCTGCATGTTGCTCTCCTCTCCAGCTGCCTACACCCCAGATTACCCCCTGCCTTGGCTTCCTTCAAGGGAAAGAGGATCAATGTTTGAAAAGCATTTAGACTTTATGAAGAGCTAAGCATCCCCACTGAGATTCTCACAGCTTTCCTTTAGAACAATCATTTATTTGCTTCAGTGCCTGTCCTAACCAAATTTACATTGAGTCTCTGTTGTATTCTTAAAGAACAAGCCGCCAAGACAACGCATTACACTTCAACATCTAATATGCCAAGCAACTGCTTTTAATTTGACCTTTTAATTATTTAATGACCTTTTAATTATCTAATTATCCAATGTTTCATGCAAAACATCATCTGTTTGCACAGGTGATTACATTAAACCTGATCCAATGCAGTTCCACTCTTAGGGGTTATTTGAAATTCTCAGGTTGAGAATACCTCACCTGACCTGCACCTCACTGTTAATGAAATGCAGACTCGAATGCAGATGTATTATTGAAATAAAAAAACAAAACACCAAACTTTTGAAGAAGTTACATTACAAAACTCACGATCACTGTAAAGATGTCTTGTAAAATGGCTGTGCCTAAGATGTTTTGTTTTCCAATGGCGCTAATGATCTACTGCAAGAGTAAGCCTTCCTTCCCTGTGTTTACTGGAAGAAGGTTACCAAGGGCATTAGGAAGACAAATGATATAATACAACTATTGTATCATGAGGCCCCAGTACTGTCAATTAAACAAAAAGGGCACCTCAGGGTTAAGCACAGCTCTTTTCCCTGCTATTTTTTGAAGAAGAAACAAAAAACATTGCAGGAAAATTTTATTTTACTTTTTAAAAAGAGATATACAGATACGAATTTATATACAGGCTAAAAATCCATCAGCTGTCAAAGCCTAAATCTTTTTGGTCACTTTTTCCTTCATACTATACAGTGGACAGATTCATAAGAATCCTCATATTTCAGTTATGATGCAGATAAATATTATTTCAACATTTCGGACTGCACAGTGATAAGAGGTCAGTAATTGCAGGGACAGGAACAGATATTGCACACACAGCACTTACATACAATGGATTTAAGTCCTACCTAAAAAGCACTGCACTGGTGGCAAATCAAAATCACCAAACTGTAATTTCATTAAAAGGTTACAGCGTAAACATTAACTTCAATAACTGCAGAATTTTTAAGTGAAGCTCATGGGCACACCTACTACTGCATCCAATACCATGGGCAATTTGGACCATTCCTTGCTGACAGATAAATATCCATCAGATAATGTCTAGAGGTGAAGAGCATACTTTTTATTACAGATACATGCAATCCAAATTGCAAAGCCATTTAATAAGTAAACTGTGGTTTCTTTCAACTTCTTAGTGGCTAGTCTAGCAAACAGCCTCACAACAAATAAAACAACTCTAATAACTACATCAAGCAGTGAAAGCACTGAAAACCCTTTAGCTCAGCCCCAGCAGCAGCCCAGCTCTGTACAACAAGACCTCTGCTAGGGCTTCAGGACTGACCTCTCTCAGCAGCCATTATGTGAGACAGGACAGGGTAACAAGTATTCAGAAGAACCAGTCCATCAACTACATTTCCAATTTGCCCCAACAGATGCAACCTCTGCTATCTGAAATTACAAAGAGATATGCCCAATTTCAAGAATCTGGGACATACCTGTTTTTTTTACCTGACTGGGTTTAAACCACGACAGTTCCTAACACAGAGCACATAGTTCTGGAAAGTAGCAGCTGAAATAGCTTATGATGGCAACCCATGATACAACCCCAAAGTGGTGCTACCAATTTATTCCCAAGTCTATCTCGTACCTGCAGTGGCATAGCTCTTCATCTCACTAAATCCTTGTTGCTTTTGCTCTAACTTAATATATTTTGTACCATAAACATGGCATATATTTGATATATTAAATATGGTACATACCTCATGAATTTCTTGTTTATGCCTCATAGCCCTTCTTTATACTGACCCACATCTGCTCTACAGCAAGCACAATGACACTTTACAGTGGAAACAATTAATTAATGCAATGCTGTTTATATGCAAACACCTGGCAACACATTCAAGAGACAATCTTCAGTAAGTACAATTCCAACACAGTCAAGTTTCAAGCTATTGTAATAATTCTCCTTACGCCAGTGTCTTATTACACACCAAATGCCAGGCCATAGGAAAACACTGGAGTTGCTTCTTCTCAGCTTTAAAAGAGGATATACTGCTTCTAAATAAATCTCAGAAAAAGGGTATACACAAGAAGTATTTAAGCATAAGTATGGATGTCTTGCACAGAAGCTGGTCTTCTAATTACTTAAGGTGTTATGGCAATAGCATATTTATAAACATTCTCAAAACCCAGCAATGAGAATTCAAGGTAAAACATGTTATGCAAAATGAAAGGAAAAAAACATCTAGACATGTCTTCAGAATGTGTACTTATAAAAGGAATTAAAGAGCTCTGCTATCAGAAATAAACAGTAGATTTGTGATACCAAATCACTTTTCCACAAGCATTGTTCAGCATGGTATCTTTCTGATAAGCAATTTTCCCCTGCACTATATCTGATACACAAAGAATTCACTGAGCTCCAACAGAAAGGACAGGGGCACTTCTGAGGTAAAAAATAACCTTCATCTGAGAGCAAGACATGAACACAGTCTATGTCTGGGTTTTGTATCTTACATCTTCTGGAATAGGGCCACAGATTCCAATTCAGATTAAAATCCAGAGAGCTAGATGCCTAAATCAGTATCAGTATTGTTAAGTGGAAATAGAAAATTTTACTTCTTTGCCAAGGGCAACTGAGTGAATCACATTCTACTTTAGACTATAATTTTTTAATTCTAGTTTTTTGCTTTACTCAAATTTATTTTTTTACTTTACTCATATTTATTATGTTTAATAAAGTCTATTTATTTAAAAGTTCTTACTCAACTATATTAACATTTATTATCATTTTTTTATGAATATACATAATAAATATTACTACTAATAATATTTATTATATCATTATTTAATTATATTTAAAGGTATATATGCTTTAATTATAGCACATATATCTATGTGCTATACCCTCACACTGAATGAGGGTAGCTTGGGTATCGCACACACTCATTGCACTGTGATATACGGCTGGCAAGCACATTTTTCTGTCAGCTGTTATATCCACATCCACATGTGATTCTTCCAGGCTCAAAAAGTAATGCCATAGATCAAAATTCAACTAATTTCACCAGCAATTTTCAGTATTCATTAAAAGATTATTCAAGCCTTTGTTTCAATGATTTGTCATGAGATAAAGCCTCACACTTCATTCTTCATTGTCAGTCTTTCAGCTGCTGCAGAATTCCCTAAAAGTTCTATGTTTTCATAAAAGGCATAAGCAAGAAATACTTCAGATATATATGATAGAAAATACATTACATTAGAGCAAAAACAAGAAAGTTTTAGATATGAAAAGTATTATCAGATTCTTTCAGCAACAAACAGGTTTCAGATATTTAAGTCTAATCTAGGCACACTGAAATCTCACATCAGTTTAACCTACTAATGAATCAGTACGTCTCTGTTTCATCTGCACCCACTTCAAAAGATCTGTTAATATGAACAGTCACAGTGGCTTCAACCTAATTATGCCTTCAGCAAAGCGAGCAGTTACATCACTGTAATTCAGCATCCTGACACCATTATACAACTGTATGTATAGTATTGGAAATAGCCAACGCTTTCCCAATCCTTTTTTCTACGGCGCAGACCACATGCGTGCTGTGCTGTACGAACCTACCCTCCCGTTTCTCAGAGTACAAACTATCTGCGTCCCCGCTTCCTCCAACCTCCGCTTCTGCCTCCCGGAAATAAAGACAACCAGCACCACAGAAATCAGCAAAACTCCCTAAAGCAAGCGCCAGGGCATCACCGAAAAGCGGCTGCTGTTCCCCCTTCCTTCCAGCTTCCCAAGGCGGCAGCTGCGACTCCACAACACAGCCGTGCTGGCGGACAGGGACGCTTCCCTCAGCTTGTTTCCATGGCTGCTGACAGGTTTCAGTTTTAAATAACCCGAACAGAGGCACAAGCACAGGCAGGACACCGAAACACCCCGTTAAGACCTGGCACCGAGCGTCAGCAAGGACGCGGACTGAGGGGCAGCCTGCCCGGAGAAGCGGCTGAGCCCGATAACCTTCCCCACCCGTCCTTCGCCAGGGCCCCCACGCTCCTTCTCCACGGGGAGAGGGCAAAGGGAGGACCTTAAGGGGAACCGGCTCGGTGAGGGGACGGTAGCCCGGGAAGGGAACGGGACTGGATTTACCTCAGCGGCGGCTGCCCCGCTGCCCTCAGCGCTGCGGCTGGCGCCGTGCCGACGGTGCGGTGGGGCGAGCCGGGGCCGAGCCCCCGCCGCTCAGCCGCCGCCGTCGCCGCCACCGTGCCCGCTGCCGTGCGCCCCGAGGAACCGAGGACTCCCGGAAGCGGGAAGGGCAGCACTCGGAGGGCGGAAGCCGGGCGCGGCGAACTGCGCAAGCGCCGAGTCGGGCTGGGAGGCGGGAGGGGAGGGGGGCTGCCCGGTGGGAGAGCTGCGCAGGCGCACAGCGGAGCAGAGGCGCACGGCCTGGTGTGCGCATGCGCGGCCCCGAGCGGGATGTCCTTGGCTGGGAGATGCGTGTGCGGGGCGGCGCCGCTGGAGGGCGCTGTGGGTGGAGGAGGACGTGAGGGGAGGCGCTGGAGGGTTCGCGTTCTAACGTTCTGACTGATAAAAATTCGTGATACGAGGGTAAAATTGGGTTCTTTCGGTGTAAAACTGCGTTTCTTCACTCGGGTGCAGAGTAAAGGTACGGGGCCTGTCGGCAGCGCGGCCACGGCGCCGTGCTCACCGTGTCATTGCGTGAGCCATGGCGGTGCTGCTGCCTCAGGGAGCTGACCCCTGCTCAGGCCCTCCTCGTCCTTTCGAAGCCCTCCCTCATCCCCAGCAGCAGCACATCGCTCTCCACCCGCCGTAACAAAGTACAGACCCAGCGGGGTTTACTTCAGTTCTTCCAGTTCTGGTGGGTTTTTGCTTTATGCCTATAAAGGTTTTCATGGGGATAGTTTTTTAGGTGTTAACTTCAGGAGGGTTATTTGGCATGGAAGTCAAGAGCATGTTCACTAAAGTTGGTCGTTCTAGGCTACAACATAAGTAGCTGAGTTAGTTTTATATGGAAATAAAAAGTGGACTTTTTACAAGGACGTGGAGATAGGACAAGGGGAATGGCTTTAACCTGCCAGAGGGGAGATTGGGAAGAGCTCTTGGGCAGAAGCTCTTCCCTGTGAGGGTGATGAGGCGCTGGCACAGGGTGCCCAGAGAAGCTGTGGCTGCCCCATCCCTGGCAGTGTTAAAGGCCAGGTTGGACACAGGGGCTTGGAGCAAGCTGCTCTAGTGGAAGGTGTCCCTGCACAGGCAGGGGTTGGAACTGGATGAGCTTCTGTGATCCTATGTAATACTATTGCATGACACTCAGAATTTTCCATTAGGAAAAAATACATATCCAGTAGCTTTAAAAATCTGATGCAAAATAGCACATGCAGGGTGTGAGCTGAGGGTATGTTTGAAACACATAAAAATGCTGAAGGATAACAAACCAAAACTGCAGCAGCTTGGGCACGCTTCTGCATCTTTTTTATCTTGCAGCACCACCACCACCTAGTGGGACCTGGGCTGCAAGTGCGTGAAGGGCTGTGTGTGCTGCAAGTACAACGTTCAGCTGCCCACACTCCTCTGGGTGTGCTTCTTTTTCGTTTCCAACTGCTTCTGTGATGAAACATTAAGGATTTAAGAAAAGCTTGTGTGTAGTCTCCTGTCTCCCGGGGTTTCACATGCTAAAATAAGTAAGTCTCTGCCAATATCTCTGCTGGTCAAATAAAAGTATGGAAACATCTATAGACACAAATTACAAGGGCTGATCTTTTTCTAGAACTATTTCCCTCCATGTTTGCCCTTAATATAACTGGTGTCATCTAGCCAGAAGTAAAAACAAAATGAAGAAATGCTTTATTTCTTGGGTACATACTTACAAGAGGTTCAGCACTGATTATAGTGAGCTTAACCCTTGAGAAGACTGACATGCATTGATGTCCTTGCACTTTTATCTCAGGATGGCTATGATGAGAAATGATGGTTACGCAGGAGCTACAAAAAAGTTCGGTACTGTATTGGGTTTTTTTTTTTTAGCATTATCAGCTAGAGAGGACTCTGCATGTTCTCACACCCTGGAGCTATGTACTTCAGCAGTTCCCACACATCCTTTATCCCTTCTAATTAAGTGGAAGTTTTGCAGTCGATTTCCGTGGAACTGATGCTTACTAACTCGTCGCCGCAGTGCAACGAGTGCGTTTGTCCACTGGATGGTGCATGACTTATTTCTGCAGCCCTGGGGCAGCCCAAATAGCCTTTGTCATAACCACCATACGACGCTGGCAAACAGCGCATCTGCAAAAACAGGGAGAAAAGGTGTACAAGACAAGGCAGTTATTTGATTTTTTTTTTTAAGAAATATATATATGACACATATAATGACGTGTATATTAAATATAGGCTGAAACCATGAAATTCTTTCTTGAGATCTGAGCTTTCCATGTCTGGGTCACGTACTACAGCTGTGAGTCTAGCTGCTATTTCTGGATGTAGTTCTGAAAATCCAGTTACATTTGCAGCTCTCTAAGGCAATGGTACATATTTTTTCTCTTGGCTTTGATTTCTGCTTGAAGACTGCTAGAGAGACTGGGTGGCTTTGCACAGTACATAGAATCGGTGCTCACTGCAGTGCAAAGATTGTGAGAACCAGTGTGGACCTCACAGCAACACTGTGATTTTGTAGGCCCTTGATTTCTCGGGGTGCCAGAGTACATTTTTTCTGATGGAATATAATCCTAACACACCAATTTCGTTTGCCAGGCAGCTGCATTTGAAAGAGGTAATGCTGTTTAAAGTGTTCACTACACAATGAGAAGTTTGATGGTCAATATTGTAGATGATTAGGAGCAAGTCAGCAAATGCAGGCTAGCAGAAATTCTTAAATTCAGCTTGCTTTGTTTTCTGTATTTTCAGCACTGTGCATCAATTGCAGGTTCCTCATTTCCTCTTGAACTTAAAACCAATTGGTTCAGTATTTTCCTCCCCACATCTTTGTAGGAGATTTTAAACTTGTTTTAATGTGCACAGTGTTGGTTTTACCATGCTAAAAACATTACCAGCCATGTCAGGACTTTGGTTCTTCCGCAAGCCCTGCTGGTTTAGAGCCTATTTCCACAGCAAACAATTTTGCCAAGATAAATTGTTTGCCAGAGATAATTTGAAGTCCTCAAACAAATTACCTAAGATACGTTGGAACATAACACTGCACAAAGCAAATTGTTTCTGAGCTTCCTGTCCTCATAGGAAGGAACAGCACTTATCTCTGTTGCAGATTGCATAGAGACAGCCACAATATCTTCACTGGTGCGTGGGTGAGACTTACTTTCTGCATCCATCACATGTCAGAGGAAAATATGAAGTATTTGTGCCCCATTTATCCTCCTCTCAGAAATGTAAATACTGAAACTGACATGATTTGTATGAGGACTCCAGCAGTTTGGCACAGGGCAGTAAAGCTGTTCATGCGTTGCCTTAGGGAGAAAAGGGAGATTTTACAAGAATCTGACATTTGCTGTAAGCCCTTCCATCTCCAGCAGACTAGAGCTGCTGAGGGTTTAATTATTTGCAAGGTCCCAGAGGTCTGCCATTTGCGTGAAACTTTCCCCATTGGATACTGCTTCATGTCAATCCTGTGTTTAAATTCTAACTAAAAATAAAAACTTGTTTTCACGGTCCATTCCCTTTGCAGCTGTTCTCTGGACTGAACCATTCCTGCTGTGCTGCAGGTGCAGGGTGATAACATTGTGCCACATCTCCTATTTTTAGACCACTTTCAGTTCCTCCATAACACAATCTGAAGTAAGAAAATAACCTTATTATCTCTTTGACTCTCTGCTTGCTCTTTGTGGTTGACTTTAAGATGTACCCCTTCAATATTAACTGAAGAATGGGAATTTACAGATATACATTTCTGAACCTTATTGCCTTAATCTCTGGTGCTTTCTGCTTTTTAGCTCCTGCCCTTTTGTTTTGATTTTATGTGGTCCATGGATAGCAATAAAGCAATACAGAACAGTTGTTCACAGTCTCAGAAAAAGAGAAACTGTGTAAAAAGAGGAACTGTAAAAACAAGGAAGCTTTTTAAGAAAGTAAGAGGAACATTTAAGACAATAAAAGCTTTTGAAGGATAGACAGAAACATGATCACAGAGGTGGAGGAAGAGCACATCTGTATCAGAAAAGCCTAGATAAAGGGCAAAAAGAAGCAGCAGAGCTAAGGAGGTTATTAAAAACAGTTGCATTCAGAGAAGAAATTGAAAGAACCAGAAGCACTGTTCCGTTAAACAGAAGACCGCAGCACAGGATCTATTGTGCAGCCACCAAAAGCCTTCCTTAATACGGCTTCTAGAAATGGTACCTACAAGAGATGCTGAAGGGATGCCCACTGTGATTTATTTTTAGGTGTTCTAGATGAAATGGGCTGCCGGGTGGATTGGAGCTGGTGGTGAGAGCTGAGAGCCAGAGAAAACAGGGTCAGAAACCTGCAATAGCAACTGCGATCTGAAGAGCTGGGAACATCTGCAGCCCTCATCCTCCGTGAGGAGCCGCTAATACGGCCCTTGTACACCCTGACAGGCCCAGGGAGAGACCCCGACGCTTAAAGCTCCTGCATCAGAACACTTAACCCGGAGGGTTCCTGGACACTTGCTTGTGCCTTTCCAGGGCAACAGCTTGAACTTCTCTTCGGGCACTTCCATGCAGCTGGGCGGGATGCGCGCTGAGATCACATTTATTGGGAGAAAAATACAAATAGTAATAATAATATTGACAATAATAATAACAATAATACTAACAACAACATACTGAAAGAAGCCGATCCCACTTCCCAAAGTGACCTCAGCGAGTCGGGACAAGCCTCTCGCGGAAATGACCGCGACCGGCCTGGGACACCGCGATGCGCGGCCGCGAGGCGGGGTTTGTCGGCGGCCGGAGCCAGCGCCGAACGCTCCGCGCAGCTCCGCCTGCGCTCCGCGGCCCGCGATGCTGCTGCTGCTGCCGCTGCTGGTGCTGCTGGCGCTGCTCGGGGCCCGGCGGGCGGCCGCCCTCGGAGCCCCGGCCCCGCTGAAGCGCTGGGCCCTGAGCTGCCTCCTGCTCTGCCACGGCGCCTGGAGGCAGCGGGCGGCCGGCGGAGCCCCTGCGGAGCCACGGCGGCCGCGCCCGCTCCGCCCCGACCCGCACGTGAGTGTCCCGCAGCCCCCTCCCGGTATCCCTAATAGTGGGACAGCCTTCCCCGCTACCGCCTTCCGTGACAGCCCCTTCCTCGGCATCCCCATCCCTGGCAAGCCCTTTTTCCCTAGGACCCCATCCT